AATTTCGACGAGGAGGTGAATATTTTATTGTATGCTCACGAAAATCCGAATTCCTCTCTCCGAAAGGTTGGAAGGGTTTTAGGTTTTTCAAAAAAATAAAATTAAAGAAGTACTCCGGACTGTCAATTTTAAGCCGTATCGCTCTCATCTTGTCCAGGGACTTATGACAGACGTTGGAAAACGTTCTTCTATACATCCTATGGACTGACGAATCCAAGTTCACCTATAATGGCATACCGGCAAACCGTCGGAATATTTGAACGTGAGAAGAGGAAAAGCCGAAAATTTCGTACTCTTGTCAGCAGGTGGTTCAAAGTATTAACGTTTGGTGTGGACTTCTAGAAAATAAATTCTTTGGGCCTTGTTCCTACAAAACTAATTCAAATAGGTTCAGTTTCTCAATTTTTTGAGTGAGGCTTTATCAACACTATTAGTTGATGTTCCTTTGAAAAACGACAAAGGATGATTCTCCGGCTTGATGGATGCCCCGCAAAAATTCCTTGCAGGTGAGACGTTATTTGACTTGTCACTTCCGGGATAGGTGGATAAGACCTCACAGCCCGGTCTGTTCGCCTCCTCGGTCACTCGATTTAACTCCACTTAACTATTTTCTGTGGGGCCATTTAAAAACCCAGCTACGCCAATCATAACCCAGCAACCTGAGTTGAAGAACAGAAAATGCTTGTCAATCCATCTCCCCTGCCTCTATCGCTCCTAGCGCCAGTGAAAAATGGTTAAAAAGAGCAAATCTTTGCATATTTACGCAAAGCATACACAAAATGTGATTAATAAATAGCAAACCAAATGACTGTTTTTTCAAACTTTTTAACACTGAAACAAACGAAATGGTTTAAAAAAAAATTATTTGCTATAACATTGTCATTTTTTGACCAATTTAAAATCCGAATACACCATTGTTTTCAGAGTGAAAAAAATCCTTTACAATGAAGTGTCAGAATGTATAGGGTCGTATTTGAAATTTTGAAGTTGATTTGGGCCTGAATTACCCTGGTACTATTTTTCTAAAATAAAGGAAAAATTTGAAACTAGACTAAGAAATATTAAACACGTATTTTTTATAGAGTCATTGGTTCAAGAGAAATTCAGCCGGGCTATCCAAAAAGGACACCCTGTATGTTATATAGGATATAGTAGTGATATGAATCTCCTTTTGTTTATTCTTTTTGTCCTCTAAGAATAGTGTATTTATTGGCGAGATTTTGTATGTGAGTGGAGAAGTATTGTATCCTCAATTATATTAGTTAAAAGTAGTAAAAGGTGCTGAAGAAATATCGTTTATTCCACCACTCTGAGTGAATGGTTTGTATGTAGGTAACGATGTATTTAAGAATGTGTCTAGGTTAAAAACTGCATGCGCTGGAGATGAAATGACGTTGCTGTTGAGCCTGAAGCCAAAATTCGATGGCCCCGGACTGTCAAAACCAAAAGTTGGCCAAAGCCGACAAGCAGCGAGAAGTAATAAATTCTGTACATATGTGTTTGTATGTGCATATACGTGCAGGGTTATGCTTATATAAATTAATACTGGGTTTATGTTAAAAGAATATATTATTGATTTTATGCAAGACTATTTTGAATCTCAAGCGAGTAAAGTGTTTTAAAATGAATTATTTTATGGTGTTAATTCCAAAACGCAGACTATGCTAATATGTTTAGCATGTTAGTGTTAAAATGTTGGTTTTCAATGTTTTTTGTTTAGTTTTTATGTTAAAACATCTAAAGGGAGGAAGTGGACAGCCTGGTCGTCTACACCAATGGAATTTAAAAGAGAATAAATTTAAAAAATAAATAAAAAATACAACGTAGTGAAGAAAAAGTAACAATAACATTAGTACATAATAGGGATATACAGGTTTTATGAAAATATAGTTTTATGATTAAAAATAGGTCAATTTCTGGGGAAAATGGCAAAAAGGAGGGAAAATTCAAAAGGTGGGGTTGAGATGGGCAGTTAGTGTCCGAGTGGACCGAGGTCACGATATCTCAAGTGGTAGAGCAGCGGCATATTTAACCGGAAGGTCGTGGGTTCAAATCTCGCTCGTGACCCTGACTTTTATATCTCAACCAATACCTTACTTAAAGATTAATCAATTGAAAAGAATTTATTTGGTCAATCGGACCATAAACATAATCGATTGTATTTTATTTTAATTTTATTTATTAAAACTTGTCAAATGAGGCCAACTATTAATTTTACATTGGCTTATAAATAATATAATAATAAATACACTAAGTCCAACCATTAATCTTAAATCATCTCAACCAAGTCTTTACATGAAAAGAATAATAAATTGGAATAATTAGCATGGTCAATTAGGCCACTAAACATAAATGGATTAATGTATAATTAATCTTAAAATTTAACTAGCTGAAAAATTGTGCATATAGACCTATTTGTATGTACAATTTTGGGATGGCAATGAAGATGATTACCGATTAATTATTTCCCTTAAAATCAATAGGATTTATGTGATAACATATTAATGGGTAATGATTGAAACACGGATGGTGATGAACTTAAAATGTAAGTAAAAAATGAAAAATCTACTAGAAAAAATATAAAAGATCCAACCCATTGTAAAACAATAATAAATGATACGAATATTTTTTGTCACGAACGAAATTTTACCTCGTTTTAGGTTGAAATATCTGGAAGTGAATTTAAGGGAAGAGGAAAATATATAAGGCTATAATACTGTTTTGTTTTCGATTCTTGGAAAGACAAATAAAAACCAAAAAAAGGATTATTTGACTACATCCCACATGATGAAATACTTCAAAGATTATTAGACTGTTTCGTTTTCGTTTGGATTCTTTACGACTTAAATTAGTAATTAAAAATATAAAAAAATGAGTTGTAAAAAGTAGCTATGAGTTTTCTTATCAGTATAGCATAATTGCTAAATGGACAAACGGGTTAAAATAAGGGAAAGGAATTTTTTATTCATTTTTCTACGGCCTCAAATTGCGTAAACATGTCTCTGAGGTCGTTTTATAGGGCTGATTTGATCTCTCCTGAGACAGGTGGCAAATCGAAAACAAATTTGTGCCAGGCAGAGCGACGAAGTTAATTGGTAAATTGCCATCAGTGAAAGGAAATCAGGATTCTAAATTTATCCCGTTTCATGTACCTTACTGGTGTAACTTCCATTCAACCCGGTTCAAATGGGGGCAATTCGACTGGTTAGCCTATACGCATTGTTTTATGGAAATGTACAATTTTGCCAATTTCGAAAAGGGGTGATTCGAACTATCAATAGGTTTTGTCGTATTACGAGTAACGAACGAAATCGAGGATTGTTTTGTGTTTTTATACGGTAAGAATTGAAATATTACATTGTAAAAACTGATAAATAATAGAGAATTTTTTGTATGACGGTATAAATCTTGTCGTATATAGGTTGAAAAATCTGGAAGTGAAATATCGAACCGGTCGAATGCGTTTTAATAGAAGAGACTCGGTAAAATTGGGGTGTCTTCTCAAAGACCTCAGTTACCTGATTAGTGAGTTCACTTAAGATAATTCCTGAGTGAGAGGAGAACCGGGAGGCAATATCGGATTCTCTTTGAAATTTATTCAATATCAATTTCCGCTGGTTTAGGACAAGTAGTCTTCCGAATGCGTTTTCGTACAAGAATAGTTAACAGGCCATTTGAACGGGACGGTTTCTTATTTTTGTAAATAGAATTTTGGCGAGAATTTTAAGTTGTAATAGTTTAAGGTTAAAGCCATTCGTCATACGTCTTAATTTGTAAGGCGTAATCATTTGTTTTACCACTGGGAAAAGGAAAAGCGCAACTTTAAAGCTGATTGGAAATATTTTCCCGAAAGAGGGAAAGTTCTTCGGTTCGTGTTTGTTTTTGAGACAACAGATCAGAGCAGGGAATGGGAACGGGCTGCCATCAATATCATGATCGACAGGCACCTTTTTCAACCCGTGCCGGCGGAGCCACCTGAGGATTTACGCCGCTGAGGTCACAACTTCAATTTCCATCCCGGACCCTTTTCCCGGAAAACTTCTACTTCCTCAACGAGTTAAATTCAAGGAAGTAACCCTCTTTAACGCGAACTTGTGTTTGTCTACTAGTTCATTAGATCCAAGAACTACAGTTTAAGAGTGCAAAATATATTGTTTTGTTTACACCCTGATATTGAACAGTATTTACTTTCATTACTATTTATCGTTTTGGCTGGAAAAATGACGAATTTATGTTTACACGGTAGTTCTTTTATGCCTTAATAGAGTTACTGTTTATTTTCCAATAATCCAAGTTATTATCACCTAAGTTATTCTTAATATTCACTTTTAAAAACTTGGACTGTTCGAAATTTTAGTTTATTTTTAACCTGAGAACGGTTTAATAGTTCCACGAGTGTTGAAATCGTCGATACTTCTTCGTCCCATTCCAGTGATACATGAAAATTTATTACATTTCGCGGAATAGGGCCCGTCATTTGGAGGAAAGGGTGGCAATGTTACAATGTGTTACTTAATACCTCCCCAGTGAGCTATTTGACCCCCGACCAGAAACTCGCCCTTTCATAAGGGCAGAGCCAATTCGTATGAAGGGCTCATAATTTTCCAGTGGAAGGCTCTAGGAAACCGGCGCTAAATCTACACACGTGCAATGTAACATGTAATGCTGAGCCGTTTTTTCCAGGCAATTCGATATATTTCTTTGCAATAGCCATCGAAAGTAATAGTGTCACAATCGATGTGACAGTTATAAAAAAATATTAAAATACGCTTTCAATATCCTGGGATGGCATAAAAGTATTTCATATAACTTTTTAATATAAACTTCAAATCGGCTTTGTCAAGTCTTTTTCAAAATGGTTATGTGGATATTTATTTATATGTATCTCAACGGAAAAACAATATATATTAAAAAAAAGAAAAAAAAGAAAAAAGGCAAACATAAAAAAACGAGTGAAGCATCGGTTGAAAGTAAGAGGACAAAGGTGGGCTTTGGTTCGCCGGTGGCTGGAGGGGGCTCAGGGTTGCAACATTTATGGTATATAAGAGAAATATAAGCCAGAAGGAACGTATTCTAACCACAGTTAACAACATGGTCTTTAAGGTAAGCACATCTACCTGAGGAAAGAGAACGATTTTTCGCGACACTTGGATTACGCGCTTTTGTAACTTTTGGTTGTTTGCAATTGGAAAATGTCGAAATTCTATAGTTTGGGTTCGTAACGTAAGAAACTATTTAAATTTACTACAATATATCAAGATTTCAAAATTATTTTTCCTGGCATTTTACAAAAGTTAAATGTTTATAGATTTAGAAACCGGAAGATTATATGACAATTACATAAATTAATACTTTAACTTCGTCCAAATTCGTATCGTCTAAAAAAAAGTATCGAAGTAAATATTTTTGAACCATTTGCTATTAAAAATTTTTTTATCATTACGTAATTTCAACAGAAAAAAATTGAGCTGAAAAAAGTGTAAAGTACAATATTTTTAAAAATCGCCACCTTATTGTTTAAACAAATAAATATTTTGTCTGTTAATGAGCTTGACGGAACTTTAACCATGCTTACGTTGTTAGACCGTGAAGAAAGATTGTTATTACTTAAACAGCTTTCTGACATTAAATTTAACATTAAGCATCAATCACGAGAGTGATGGTGGACACCCATGTAAAACATCATGAAATTTTATTAATCGCTCAGCGAGTTGACCACTTGCTAAGACATTGCATTAAGAAAAATGCTGGTATATTTCGAATATGAAATTGTTTAAACATTGGATGTATTCATGTTTCAGGTAGTCCTTTCCCTTGCCTTAGTGGCTCTTGCCCATGCTGGTGGCCCAGCTCATTACAGGACCGCCAGTGGTGCCGTTGGTGTCTTGGACGGATCTCTCGGCCAAACACACGAAGAAACCCAAAAGGGTTATGCCGGAGACTCAGTCTCTCAATTCACTAGCAACGTTCAAGGAGCTCACTCATACAGCACCAACTCTTTCTCAAGGACCACCAACGGAGGAGTTGCCGTCGGCGCCCCAGCTGTCGCCGCCGTCAGGACTGTCGGCCCCGCCGTATCCTACGCCACCCCTGCCGTCGCCGCTCTTAGAGGAGCTTCCTTCAACCATCTCGGTTACTCTTCCGGCCTTGGCCTCTCCAGCGGTCTCGGCTATGGTTCCGGAGTTAGATACGGTGCCGGTCTCGGCTATGGTTCCGGATTGAGATACGGTTCCGGTCTCGGCTATGGTTCCGGATTGAGATACGGTTCCGGTCTCGGCTATGGTTCCGGATTGAGCTACGGTGCCGGTCTCGGCTATGGTTCCGGATTGAGGTACGGTGCCGGTCTCGGCTATGGTTCCGGAGTCAGCTACGGTGCCGGTCTCGGTTACACCGCTGTCAGTCCTGCTGTGACCACTGTTCACGCTGCTCCTGCTGTGACCACCGTCCACGCCGCCCCCGCTGTCGCCTCTCTCAGGTCATCTACTTACCACGGTAGCGGATACACCGGTGCCGGCTACGCTTCTGCCGCCCCACTTGTCTCTGGCTTAAGGACTTCTTCCGTTTCCTACTCCTCCCCCGCTGTCACAACCGTACACGCTGCCCCAGCCGTCGCCGCCGTCAGGACCGTCGCCCCCGCTGTTTCCTACGCTGCCCCCGCCGTTTCCTACGCAGCCCCCGCTGTCGCCTCTGTCAGGTCTTCTACTTACCACGGTAACGGATACACCGGTGCTAGCTACGCTGCCCCAGCCGTCTCCGCCGTCAGGACCGTCGCCCCAGCTGTTTCCTACGCCGCCCCCGCCGTATCTTACGCCGCCCCCGCTGTTTCTTACGCCGCCCCCGCTGTCGCCTCTGTCAGGTCATCTACTTACCATGGTAACGGATACACTGGTGCCAGCTACGCCGCCCCTGCCGTCGCTGCCGTCAGAACTTCTTCCGTTTCCTACTCTTCCCCCGCTGTCACCACTGTCCACGCTGCCCCAGCAGTCGCCGCCGTCAGGACAGTCACTCCCGCTGTTTCCTACGCTGCACCCGCTGTTGCCTCTGTCAGGTCCTCTTCCTACCACGGTAACGGATACACCGGTGTCGGCTATGGCGCTGTTGCCCCTGCTGTCTCCTATGCTGCCCCTGCCGTCGCTGCCGTCAGGAACGTCACACCCGCTGTTTCCTACTCAGCTCCAGCTGTCACCACCGTCCACGCCGCACCAGCCGTCGCCGCCGTCAGGACCGTCGCCCCCGCTGTATCCTACGCTGCTCCCGCTGTAGCCTCTGTCAGGTCCTCTTCCTACCACGGTAACGGATACACCGGTGTCGGCTATGGCGCTGTTGCCCCCGCTGTCTCCTATGCCGCCCCTGCCGTCGCTGCCGTCAGGACCGTCTCCACTCCAGCTGTCTCCTATGCAGCTCCCGCTGTCACCACCGTGCACGCCACCCCCGCTTTCTCATACGGAGCCCCCGCCTTCAGAACGGTGTCTGCCGGCCCTGCTGTAAACACATACTCTTCTTCTTCTTACCTCGGTAACGCTTACGGCGGTCTTGGATACGCCGCCCACGTCTCTCCAGTCGCCGTCGGTTACTCAGCTCCCTCAGTCAGGACTTACTCTACTGCTACTCCCCTCTTCAAGAGCTACGCCGCCGCCCCTGCCCTCACAACCTACGCCGCCCACTCTGCTCCTCTCGCCGTAGGCTTTTCCGCTGCTCCTTCAGTGAGCCACGCTACTTTCTCCTCCCTCGGATCCAGCTACTCCTTTTAAACAATCCTTTCCCACAAAACCCCTTAAAGCCATGTGTTTTTTGTTTTTGTATAAAAGGTTTATACCCAGTTGTTAGGGTATTGAATAAATTATTTGTTTCAAATTAATTCTAATTTTGATTTTAAAATGTAATCCTACCAAATGCATTGTTACTCAATTTTCAATGAAGTATGGAAGAAGGAACGATAAAATTTATGTCTCAACTCTCCTTTAAGATAGTCCTGTTATTAAATGGCAAAATCGTTCTGACTAATTTATTCCGACCTAGATATTCGTTTCGAACGACACAGGGTTGTATATCAAGGCTGTATTTCCTCACATCTCGCCTTATATGAGTTAAGGGCGTGGTGAGGATTCGAGAAGAGTTTAGAACGATATATATTCATCGGACTAATACCGGTCCACTGGATATTCACATTTGACATTTGATCAAAGCCGAATAAACAGTTTTAAATTGGCCAATTCTAACAAACCTAACCTTTGGGGAGAAAAGATACGTTCCGTCTTCGTTAAAAGTCTTATTTAGGCATAATGTCATGGTCATTTCACAGCACTTTGCTATTACCTAATAATGTTTACTTACCCACCTACAATTTAAAGTGTTTTAATTTGTTATTTATAATGGGATAAGAATTCACAAAACTAGTTGAGGGAAGAAATTTCAAAACGAGCTGCCGACAGCAATATTGTCGTACGCTTAATGGAATTAAATACAACGAAAATAAAACATAAACAATTTTCATTAAATAAAACTTAAACAATAATTGATGTAACTGCTGGGACATACAAAAAAATGGTCAGAAGCAATGAATGAAAGAAAAATTGTTAACAACAAAAATTATATTTTGATCTAGATTATAGGGTTAGTACGAAAACAGTTTTTCAACATCACATTTCCCTTTGCAGCCACATATCGTTAAATTAAGAAAAAATGGTCATTTCAATTTTTTCGAATCCCTGTTGTTTCAATTCATATCGGCTGATTTTGGTTAAGTATTTCAAATTGATACATTTCATCTAATTTGCAAATGTACTTGTTTTGTCAGTCAAAATAAATGCTTTTCATTGTAATTATAGTATTTACATCCAAATTAAATTGAATTGATAAGGGAAAGAGCTGTTAATTGACTCGTGCTACGTGTTTACGTACGTCACAATCATATTCTTGTAAACCTTTGAGTTTTTTAAAGATAACCAAGACAAAGAAGCAATAATGTGTTATCAAACCAGCAACAAACTATTAGCATATTAGAATCTTTTTCTATGCCCCTCGCCTCCGTGCTAAAAGAAGAAAATCTAGATGATTTTAATGACTTCCCTGACTAATTAAAAAAGTGTGCAACATACCATAAATTAAAATTCTACATAGACAAAGTATAATTTAAATAGAAGTTTATATTATTTTTCTGTCTTTCGATAATATTCTCGTCAACATACACTTTGAATATTTTTTCCAGCGAAGCAGTCATTATGAACACACCAGACATAACTAATTCCAAATTAATTTGATATTTATAGCTACATTAAGTAACAAAAAATATATGATGTTCTAAACTAACTCCACTAGTTTTCCTTAGTCGTTTGGAATGGATAATGATTATAAATGATCGAATGGGATCGTATTCGTACGGAAGCAAAATGAGATATAAAACCCCAAACAATTTTGTAAGGCAAATTTGCATATTTATATTAAGTTTATTATTTTAGTAATTTTAAGTGCTTCATTTATTTGTTCCGTTTTCGACCATATTGGTTTGCATGTCTTCGTTGATTTGGTATGTCAAAAGCGTTTGGCATTTCATTATTTTAAGTGGTGGGTTCGGGTTTTTTAAATATTTTTATTTATTTTTTAATATATTTTTTACCGAGAGTGGAACAGGAAAGGTCATATCAATTCGCGGGGAGGCGGTGGTTTGTAAGTACGCTGAGTTCGAATTAAGCGCTCTGAGATTCGATCCCGGAACCTTCAGTAATGAGTCGCCATGCCAACGCTTTGTCCGTTTAACTGTAGAACTTATATTTATTCACAAGAATAAAGAAATTAAATTGTATTATAACTTTTTACCACCTTGAAATCTTTCTCTTCCCTAAAAATCGATTATTTCGTTCGACACGACTGTTTTTCGCAACATTTGGGATTTGAAGAACGTTCAAAATACCAAAATAAATTGACGGTTGTTACATTTTCCTCGATAGCCGATGATTTCGCCCAAGTTAATGATTATTGCCGGCTTGTTAAAATGATAAAATCTTTCGTGATTTATTAGAAATTGTGGGCACACGTTCGGTGACGCAAGAGCAACGGTCCACGCCGGTGGCATGGGGGGGCTTCGCGATTCATACGGCTCATTCTTAGAATAAGCATCGTCTGAGTTGCTTCAGACCTGTCACGACGTCCTCAATTTACTCTGAACTCCTCCCTTATCAGAATGTGGCCTGTTATTAACACAAATTTCAAAATCGGTAGCTTCTGTTTTCCATAGACCTGGGAATGAAAAAAAATTAAGGTAGATGGAAAAGAGCAACCTTGTTAATTTATAATAGATAACTCGTGTCAATTAATTAATCCGGTAATGTGTAAACTACATAATACAGGGTGTCCTTTTTAGATGGCCCGGCTGAATTAAGGCTGAATTTTGAACCAAGAGAAATTCGCTAAAAAAAAGAAAAAAAAAAGTGTTGGAGTAAACGATATTTTTCCAGCACCCTTTACATATATTTAACTAATATAACTGAACACACAATACATGTCCACTCACATAAAAACTCTCGCCAATAAATCCGCTAACTCTCAGAATACAAAAAGAAAAAACAAAACGAGACTCTTATCACTTCTATATCCTATATAATATACAGGGTGTCCTTTTTAGATAGCCCGGCTGAATTTCTCTTGATCCAATGATGCTATGAAAAAAAATAAACGAGTTTAATATTTTTTAGTCTAGTTTGAAATTTTTACCTTCTTTGGAAGAAAAATTATATAGGGTACCTCAGGCTTAGTCCACTTCAAAACTTCAGATACGACCCTGTACATCCTGACACATCATTTTAAAGAATTATTTTATGCAGAAAAGAATGGTACAATTGGATTTTAAATTGATCAAGAAATGACAAGGTTATGGAAAAAAAATTAAAAAAGGGATTTCGTTGGTTTTGCTGTTAAAAAGTTTGAAAAAAAACCGACATTTGGTTTGCTCTTTATTAATCACATTTTGTGTTTGCTTTGCGTAAACATGCAAAGATTTGCTCTTTTTAGCACTTTTCACCGGTGCTAGGAGCGATAGAGTCAGGGGAGATGGATTGACAAGCATTTTGAGGTTGATGGGGTATGATTAGCGTAGACAATATTTTTCAATCAGGTGACCGAAGAGAATTAAGGAATTAAGATTTACTGTCATAATGACAATGACAGACAGTAAACAATACAGGGAATTAATGTTTACTTTAGCGAAAAAGGAACTTTTTGGAAATAACAACGAAACAAACGAAATGCGTTTTTTCAAACTTTTCACCTAACATTTTTTGACCAATTTAAAATCGGAATGCACCATTGTTTTAGGAGTAAAAAATCCTTTAAATTGACTTGTTAGGATGTATAGGTTTTTGAAATTTTGAAGTTGAACTGGGCCTTAATAACCCTGTATAATTTTTCTCCAAAAGAAGGTCTTTGAAACTAGACTAAAAAACATTAAACGTTTAACATTAACATTTTATATCTACTAACATTAAAACATTTTTTATTTTTTTCGTAGTGCCATTGGTTCAAGAGAAATTCAACCGGAATCAAAAAAGAACATCTTTTATATCTACTTCTACCAAATCGATAGCTTTTATGGTTAGAATAGTCTAAAATGTCTGTTATACTTTCGATTTTAAAGTGTACAACAATTGAAAATTTGACAAGTTTATGCTGTTTTCGAGTTTATATCACGAGAACGTTTGTGCAGTTGGCGTCTATAATAAATAATCATCGAGATTTGTTTTGGAGAGTGAAAAAAGTCAGTAAAGGCATTTTCTAAGTAAAGATGCCAAAGTTGTTTTTTTATTAGTAATTCATCCGACCTGAAAATGGAGAGTGAAAAAAAGAAAATAACCTGTAGGAGGTTCTTCGGAAAATGTCAAGGTTTTTAGATATCATCTTATTGTTGCATGGTCGCCCAGAAAAGAACCGGGTCCCATAATTTTTAGGTAATACCACGAGAACAAAAACGCCAGAAAGAATTATGGCTGAAAAACAATCAAACAAATCTCTATGATCAATATTAATGACAGCAAGATTACAGCAACTCTCGTGTTCTTCAAGAATAGTTTATTTCCGTCTATTTTATATCAAATAAGAGCTCGCTTATTTGTTGCTGTTTCTGATAATGTAACCTTGATGTCAGATTATAGAAACAAAAAGATCATGTTCATCGCAAAGGTATTGTTTCCAAACATAAATTTGTTCCGGGCCTGTCAATTTTGTACTTTAGGATGTTTGTTTCATTTAAATTTCATGGTAAACATTATTAATTCACCTAACGTTTAATTTTTCGATCCGGTGATCAGTTATTATTTCTCGTCTGATGACAAAATTTATGTGCATCAACCGTTCTATAAAATTTTATAAAACTGACCGATTTTTGCGTTGTTTAAATTTTTACACTAATTATCCTAGCATCGGTTCATTGAAGAGTGTACCACTTGTAGTATATCTCGTAACAAATTTGACCTCGTTGTCAAAAAAAGGATTGCAAATATTCGAGCTCATATATTTAAGAAAGTTCAAGGCGAGTGCACGTCGCGCTTCTTAAAAAGAAGAAAGATGATCGTAGGGTATCCTCTTTCCATTGAACTTGGTTTGTATACTTGGAACGAGTACAGAAACTGGCCGTAATGTAAGTGAAGTCCTTTGAAAACTGAGTTGAAATTAATGTTCACAATAAACTTGCCCGAACTAAAACTACTCTCTACTATTTAAGGAGAAAAATTGATACAGTAAACGAAAGGTTTTCTAAACGCCGTAATTTGCATGTATACTAAGCCCGCAACATTGTTCGGATTGCATGGTTTAACATACCTCTGCCTTTGGAACCCGACCTATTTTTAATAAGATAATAATTATTAC